TGCATGCATGACTAGCGATTGCCAAGCAGAAACGTCCAAGAACCGCAAGCCTGTGAAGCGCGAGCGGTGCAGCGGTGCAGCGGGTCTCACTGCAGCTTTCTGCGATAGCAGTGAATGCCTGAGCTCTATCAGACCGTCTGGGCCTGGACTATTTCTCGGAATGACACTCCGGCGTCGCCCGCCCGCCCCGCCTCGCCACGCCCCGCCTCAGAGGACATCGCACTGGCGCCGGAGGGCCCGGCCGGCGGGGTTGGCATCCAGGTTGGGTCGGCGGCGCTGCGGCGCCAAAGCGATCTGCCCTGCCCGCTCCGCTCGGCCTGACGCAGCCCAGCGCGCCCAGCGCCCCGCCGTTTGACCAGCGCTCCCCGACAAACAGTCGCGCGAATCGCGGGCTCCGGCCGTCTCTGGACCGCGTCGGAACCCGAGACGGCGGGGCGGAGGCTTCGAGTGCTTGCTCAGAACGCAGAGTCACTTCCTCCAGACGCCAGAGGAGCTGAGGATGCGTGAGACAATTACCGGCCCGGGGCCGTTTTGCCATCAGGAAATCGTCACTCCACTGGGGTCTCCATCTTGGGGAAGAAAACGGGCGGACTCCAATTCGGAAATCGTCCATTTATCCCCCCCTCAATTTCATGTTTCCAGAAGTACGTGTGAAGTGCCATAACGAGCCATAATGCGCATCCCAAAAATAATGGGCCGCTCACAAAAACACACAACAGGAAATGAACGAACAGGGATTCGCCCTCCCTTGCGGTTACCGTCCTCGTCGCCGTGGCAGAAGCCCCTCCAAGGGGTGGTTTGGGAGGCTGGGGTCCAGGGCGCCAGCCCGTGCAGGTGCAGCGAGGCACGAGGGAACCCGTCCACAAACCACACGGGTGCAAACGAGGCCCACGAGATGAGGTAGTCGGCCAGGGTAACCGCGCGCAGTGTGTGACCGTGCTTGATCGTATAGCTGTAGTGTACATATATATGGGTATGCACCTCTAAAAACGCTACCTACCTGCACCTAACATATCGCGAGAATCTCAAAGTGTTCAGCTGGCAAAAGCACACGAGCACACACGAGTTGCAAGTGAGTCGATCAAACAAACAACCCATGGAGCAAGTAAGTGTCCAGCACTTATTTAGTTGAACTATCAGCCCTGACGTCATCGCAGGTGAGAAATATTCATGGTGAGCATTTAGGGTGCACTCTAAATGTAAATAGACAATAATTATTTTGTTCCAAAATTTGAGGGGGAAAATTGCCCCTTTACAGTGTGGTGATCGGTTGATGGCCTAAACGGAGACGTGCTTCCCAGTGACACCTAAGATGTCAGACTTTACAAAGCTATGCTATGGCCGAATACGATCCAACTTGGAGCATTTGTGACCGGTTTTCCCTTTTTAAAGGCACTCACATTTTTAGCACCCTTTTATACGACTAAGCAAAGTCTTACCGTAGACTACTTCTTCCCAGTGCGCATAACTGTAGGACACCTTCACAATCTAAACCCACCTCCCTTACAGACGTTTTTTTTTTTTTCGGCTGCTCCCCGTGTCACTCGGCAGGCATCACCATCAGACCGACTTCGCAACAGGAAGCGTTTCGGTACCTCCTATCAATATGCGCTTATTTGTTTTTAGTCCACACAGACCCGCTCATTACTAAGGGCTCTAAACAGAACCGCTCATCTGCGCGGGTCCTACTCAGAACCGCTCATCTCTCTGAAATACGGGCGGGTGATTCCCAGATTTCAATGGATGTTCCTAGGTGCTGAGCTTCAATTTAGAAACAAAAAATGCAACAAGCTCTCTTGTCTGTACTGGAACATCATATTTAAACTGCCATAGCCCGTAAAAACCTCCGATATTGGGTGATATTATAGTAAATACGAGGGGCAACATAACCTAACCAGCGCCCCGGCCACGAGCAGACCCAAGGAGGAAGGCAAAGTCAACATTACATCAAAATGACGTCAAAATGACCTTCAAGGTCAAAATTGGGGACCATTTTGACGTCTTCGTGATGTCAAAATGGTCCCCTACGTTGACTTTAGAAGTCATTTTGACATCATTTTGATGTCATGCTGACTTTGCCCTCCTCCTTGGGGATGAGCGGTTCTGTGCAGGGCCCGCGCAGGTAAGCGGTTCTGTGTAGAACCCGAGGTGATGAGCGATTACGTTTAACCTAAAGAATTATAAGCGCATATTGATAGGAGGTGCCG